TTCAGTCCAGACAGTTTTTCCATCTTGCTTGTTAATGAATGTAATTCATGTAGCTACAGTCAATGATAGACTTTGTTCTTTTTTTCTTTCTTGTCACTATCTGCTTTGTACCGATAAGCGCCGCAGTTTAACAGATGATATGTAGCAGAGCTAGAGCCCTGTCAGTTGCTTGGTATGTTGTGATGTCGTGCGGTCTTTGAATTGTCACTGACTATCAATCCATTTATCAAAGGTCTCCGTCTGAACATCAGTGTTTATATTTTACTGTTGTACGTTCTCATTGCAGGAATAACTGGATTCATTCTCAACAGTTTGCCGAACCCTTTCAGTGGGGCTTCTCAAGGAATTTAATGATTAGTCGTGTTTAAAAAATCATCTAAGGGAAGAGTCTAAGCGAAGATAGTTCACAAATGCAAAAAAGCAAATCAAATCTTTGAGCAAAGGTCACTAGTTAAAAAAAAAAAAAAATGCAACAATTGAAAACTGAAGAGTCTATTCAATACCACATTTATACAAACATTGTGTTATCATTGCCAAACGAAGACACTGACAATAAAAGACAACAGACAAATCGAAACAACAGAAATGAAATGTCTACTGTGAATTCTAAAGGTAACTAGAAAAGATAGTATTAGAAATGATGACATCAAGAAAGAAATTGGGACAGAACTATCTGGAATAGCATAGTCTGTAAATATGTGCACCTACGTGGCACATACCCAGGCTGTCACCCGATGTCTCTTCAAAACCTAAGGACTACAGCAGAAGAAGAAGAGTGTTCCACATACTTTTCTAATATTCATTTCTGGTTTTAAAATCAAACTGTTAACGTTACGGTCTTAACACCCATATTTTTCACTTACCCTGAAAGATCAACGCAGGACTGTTCAAACTGGCTCACTTTACCATAAGCTGATATATGCGGGTGTATATTTATAACATGGCTGACGTGGCAGGATGTGCGTTTGAATTGTGTTCACCCACATAAACCTTGACTAGCGTCACTTTTACTTACCATTAGCATCAGCATGCTGGTGTATATTTATAACACAGCTGACGTGGCAGAGAGAAAACGTCAAAAAGTAATGCCATCCAAGACACAGAAGGTAAACTACTCATATAAAGTAATGACATCCTGAATAGATGGTCTGAATACTGTTCAAGTCTGTTTAACAAACAAACAAATAGCAACACCGACAGCAGCCAAGCACAGGAAGATGACAGATTCCCCATACTCAGGGAGGAAGTAAAATTGGCCATCAGATCAGATAAAAATTGGGAAAGCTGGGGAAATTGACAATATCCTAGCTGAGATCCTTAAGGCTGGGGAAGCGGCCATCGTCGACATCCTCACTGAAATCTGTAACACAGTTTCATCGTAAGCATCCTTAAAAGGGGGAATTTACAACAATGTAAAAATTATAGAACTATAAGTCTCACCAGTCATCCAAGTAAAGCCACATGCAGAAAAGATCATAGCACAGGAACAAGCTGGTTTCCGTGCTGGAAGAAGCACTGTTTAACATATTTGTAATTTACGCATATTATCTCAGCAATTCCACCAGTAAAAAAAAAAAAAAAAACCCCAGCTATACCATGTGTTCATTAATGTTAAAAAGGCCTTTGATAGAACATGACAAACAGCACTCTCAGACACTATAAAAAGTGCAATTTCGGTAAAACCCTCATACGTACTATAGAACAGCTCTATGTCAAGGCCAGCAGTGCTGTCACACTGAACGAACAAATAGGAAGCTGGTTCTGAACAACAGTAGGAGTCCGGTAGGGCTGCCTTCTCTCTCCAACACTTTAACATATTTTTTGAAAGAATTATGACTGATGCCCTAGAACAACATCATGGAACAGTTAGTATAGGAGGTCGAACTATGGCAAACTTAAGGTTTGCAGATGTCATCGATGGGTTGGCGAGAGAAGAACAAGAACCAGTCGAGCTTGAAATATGCTCCACGAAACATCAACCAAGTATGGCATGGAAATAAACGCAGAAAAAAAGAAGTCATAATCATCATCATAAACCACTTTTGCCGATAAGCGACGTGGGGAGGAATAATTTTCGATCCAGTGGACGTTGGCTACCACTTGCTATGGTTAGCGTCTTTAATGTCTTTAATGTCTTTAATGTTATCGATCTATTATTTCCGCGGCCGTCCTCTTGCTCGTGTAGCTGATCTTCTGAGATTCAGTGCTTGTGTTTTTGATCTTGCTGCATTCTAACGAGATGGCCAAACTACTTGATCTGCTGTTTCTCGATGTATCTAGTACAAAGTGTCGTTCCGACAATTTGCCTGATAATTTCATTATTCACTCGATCTCGGATGGTTAGGTTGGCTGCTTTTCTCAGACACCTCGTCACGCAATGAGTGATTTTGCGTATATAAGCTTTTGATAGTGTCTATGTTTGGCACTGGTAGCTTAATGTTGGAATGAATATGGTATTAATAATCTGTCTCTTTGCACTCATACTTATGCTTGGATGTCTTAATAATGGTGACAATTGGTATATAAGTGCACTTGCTTTCGGACATCTGGTTTCTATTTCTCTGTCAATTCTACCATATTCTGCGATCATACTTCCTAGATATTTAAACTCCCTAACTTGATTCAGAGCAGAACCATTCAGCTATATGTGTACTGGGGCAGGGGTTCTACTAACATGCATTGTTTCGGTTTTGTTTACATTGATCTTCGTGTTGTATTTACTGCATGTTGAGTTTAACCTGTTAATGTGGTCTTGCAGTCTATTTTCTTCAGGGTAGAACAAGCACTGGTCGTCAGCAAATAGTAGTTCGTTTGAAGTGGGTGAATCTATAACTTCTTCTGATGTGTGTACTTTCTCATGATTATAAAGGTCTATGTTGTCTGTATCAGAACTTGCTTCTTTAGATATTCTGTCAATATAGATGTTAAATAAAAGTGGGGAGAGCACACATCCCTAACTCACACCTGTGTTGACTGCGAACATATCTGATTTGACTTCTTATGTTCGTATTGCACTTTGGCATGTGTGGTACATGGCTATGATGTTCTCTAGTAACTGTCCTTGTACCAGCAGTTCTCAAGAACAAACCACAGTTTCTCTCCCCCCCCCCCCACTCTATCAGAAGCCTTTTCCTGATCTACAAACAACAATATTATGTTTGGTATTATACTCAATGGCTTTCTCACACACTTGCCTCAAAGTGAATAATGCATCTGTGCATCCTTTGCCATTTATGAAACCGAATTGTGACGCACTCAGCTGTTGTTCAGCTATGGGTCTACCTCTCTTTTTTTTTTTTTTATTAATTTGGTGTACATTTTTCCTACGTGATTCAGTAGTGATAAACCTCTGTATGCTTCACATTTTTTCCAATTACTTTTTCTTTTTCCATAACGGTACTATTAGTGCCTGTTGCCACTCAGCTGGAACTTTTCTTTCTCGCCAAGCTATATTAAAAATTCTAGTAGGCATTTAACTCCCACTTCTTCGCATGCTTGGATCCCTTCTGTATTATTCTATCCAGACCTGGTACCTTGTTTCTAGGGCTGTTTTGTAAAACTGCACTTGCTTCCGCTACAATGAAATTTGGTTTTTCTTGTTTGCAGATTTGATGTGCAAAAGTTAAAATTATCTACGTTGCCTGTTGGGTTGAGGAGTTCATGAAATACTCTGCCCATCTTGCTAACCTCTGTTGTGGACTAAATAGAGGTATGACTCTCTTTTTGTTGATAATAGTTGATGGGTTGTAGCTTACGTCTCTTTCTCTCATGGTTTTTACATGTTTATAGAATTCTCTAGGGGAGTTCTTGCTGAGGGTAGCCATCTGTCGACCATGTTTTCTACAAGACTCTAATAATCTAATAATGCAATTTAGTAGAAACTAATAATCATGCTGGCAGAATTTCACCAATCTACGTTAAAGGCCACAAATTAGAATAAATGACTCATTTCAAATATTTATGATCCATTTTAAGTGACCTGGGGTCTAGGACTGCCCAGACAACATCATCCCTAGCCAAGCAGCAAAAATTATAGAGATCCACAAATATTTCATGCAAAACTAAGATTCGATTACTCAGAGCACTAACTATTTGTACATTTACATATGGCTGTGAAACGTAGACCTTAACAGCTGAACTTGAAAGAAAGATACAGGCATTAGAAATGTGATGTTTCAGAAAAATTCTTGGCATATCACACAAAGATCACGAACGAAGAGGATTGCAATAAAATTATACAGCACATTAGCAACTATGAACCTCTTTTAACTACAGTGAAAAGACAAAAAATGCAATGGTAAGGACGTGTAATAAGATCTAACGGCCTCTCAAAAACAATACTGCAATGCTCGTTAAAGGAAAGGAGGGGGAGAGGCAGAAAAAAAGACCTAGTTACAGAACCTGACTGACTGGACAGGCCTCAAGCATGCAACCATGAAGTCCGTCGTAACTGACCGCCAAAGATGAAGAGAGCTGATCAGACAGTCAACAGAAAGAGATCACCCAACGACACGCAGTTTTACGGAATGATGATGATGATGATACCTACATGAAAGTGTATCCATCATTCTGAATAACCATATATTTATCTCCTTTCTAGACTCTTACGGTAGCTCTCTTATCCATCTGTAAAAACCAATTGGTGACGTAGGATGGCTTGTGTAGCTAATGAAGATGCCGCGAACTTTGCAGTTTAAAATTTTTAGTTTTTCAAACAACAACAAAAAAAAAAAAAAAAAAAAAAAAAAAAAAAAAAAAAACACACACACACACATACATACATAACCGTGGATCGAGCCCGGCTCTTCCGCATAAGAGTCTAGCGTTCTTACCTTTCGGCCATCGTGTGCTATAAACTGTACTATAAGACAGAAAGAAAATTATCTTTACAATGGTCAAGTGATTGTTACAGTAAGCGTTAAACAGTGATGACAGAAGGAAGCAAAACACAAGAAACACGAGAATGACCAAGTTAGGTGCAGCAGTTCTTGTATTTCGCCTTAAGAGGAAGTCGTATTATGGTTTAGTTTGATACAGCCATCCTGCAGGAAATGAGTGACCATCTCCAAGGACACGTCTGGCATATCATGAGGGACCTGGTGTCCAGCGCCATGGACAACGACCCGGCAAAACTGACCAGTCTGGGAAAAGAATCCTTTCAAACGGTCATCTTCAGTCCAAAATGTCCTGGAAGAAAACAAACAACGCAAACACGTGAATGTCTATTTTATGTGGTTTAGGGGTTATACACGCAGTTTCATAACTTTTGGGTAGCGAATTTGATTCGGCTGCAGGCTATTTAGGAGCTGTCCTCTTTGCGTTGATAGACTGATCAGGAGCATATAATGGATATTATGTCCATGAGATTGAGGTGTGAGGTAAGGAGCAAGCTGACTGGCTGGCTGCTGCCGCGCCTTTGTGTGGTGAGCTGCTTTATGATATAGCGGACGCGGTGAAGCCTCTCATGAATGAAATGAAGAGCGCTTCTTCTCATTCGATCCTTCTGTCACAAAACTTATAACAAGAGGCCTTTTTGAAAGCTGTAGTCACATGACTAAGATTTTACTGAGGAATAATTATGAGAAGAATAAGAAACAAAATTAAACCAGAAGTCAGAGATGAAAAATGTGGATTTGTATGAGGAAAAGGTACAAAGAATGCCATACACATCCTAAGGACATTGTCAGAAAGAGCTATAGAAGTAAAGTCTGATTTGTACTCACACTTCATGGACTATACGAAAGCTTTTGACTGTGTGATACGTGAAAAAATAATCAAACTGTTAGAAAAATTAAACACTGATGGAAAAGATTTAAGAATAAGAAAGAATATGTATTGACAGTAAACAGCGGCTATAACAATTAACAACTGTTTGGGTACATTTCAGAGCATTCAGAGGGGTGTACGACAAGGATGTTTACTGTCACTTGATTTATTTTTACTATACAGTGAATATATAATGGGATCTTTAATTGAAATGCCTGGCTTTGTGGTTGGTGGGCACACTATAAACAATCTGCGCTATGCTGATGACACAGTCTTGATAGCAACAAGTCAGAAAGAACTACAGGAAATGATAGACATTGTGGTAATACAAAGTGGAAGAATGGGCCTCAGTTTGACTAATGGGAAAACAGAAGTAATGGTGGTATCAGAGAAACAAATTATTCCTAAATCTGTAAGTACAGAAATTTAAGTATATGGGCACATAGATAAAATCAGGTGGAAGATGCATTACTGAGATAAGAAACTGAATAGAACAGGCAAAAACTTCATTTTACAAAATGCAATACATCTTTGTCATTGAGGGTTTGAAAAATAATTCCTGCTTCATTTATACATCCAGTTTTAACATATGGCTGTGAGTACTGGACAATCGGTACGCAGACCAAACAATTTATAGAGGCCTCAGAGATGTGGTTTTACAGAAGAATGCTTAGAATACATTGAACAGCAAAAAAAAAAAAAAAAAAGAGCAACCAAGAGGTTTTGAAAGAGGCGGGAGCTCGAAGACAACTTATCACAGACATCAGAAGGAGACAGTCATCATTTTTCGGCCATGTTATGAGAAGAGTGAAAATAGAACATGTTGTGACCACTGGAAAGATCTGTGGGAGGAGGGATAGAGGAAGGCAACAAGAGAAGATTCTCGACAGTTTTGTTGCATGGCATGGAGGTGTGTCAGCACACAAGCTGATACATGCTGCAGGAGATCGCAGATTGTGGAGAGGCATGAACGCCTACGCCAGTTGGCAAGGCACCTGATGATGATGAGTGCAGTCTATCTCCACGTGTACCTAACAGTTTTGTCTTTATTGTGGTTGAAATAGGTCAGATTGCCTCTCTGTTGTCAGCATACATTTGATAGTGTTGGGTGCCACGTTGCAGAGACACGTCTCCTGTTTTCTACACCGAAAAGTATGAACATATGTTGACGAAGTCTGTGGTGCCCCGTCCTTAGACTGAATTATTAGGTGAGCAAAATAGGATCAGGTAGAACGGTAAGGGTCAAGAGGTCGACCAAAAAAGTCTGTCAGAGTGTACAGCCACAATGAGACTATTAGATCGAGCTCTGTTTTAACTCATCTTTCACATGGGGATCGCAGCTGAGTAAATGTAGCAGGAAATGTGTGAGTGAGATATTCAACCCAACTAGGACTGCACAACAAGCGATTAAACCTGGTGACAAAAAGTGCCACCATTTGGATGGGAATTGCAGCAGGCGTAAGTCTCAGAAGCACCCGTACAACAGTCAGGTTATATAAGGGACGTCGACAACAGTAGGGGTGCGGCTTCAATATGAAAACAATGCGTCCCATTTTTGGGTGGGTATATACACTATCTATCCATCTAACATCCATCCATCCATCCATCCATCCATCCATCCATCCATCCATCCATCCATAAATTTTTGAAAAAAAAAAAAAAAACAGAAAATCAATCACGTTCAACATACTGCGGGCTGTTTCGTCTATAATTTAAATAATTCGCATTTACTGAAAACAACCTTGCTATAGAAAGAAAGCCGCTATAGTGAAAGAATGAATCGTTTGTCTGCCGGTCCCGGGGATTTGGGGGTGAAACCGCAGGTAACTATTACGAAAACCCTCCCAGAGTTAGCCCCGCCTATTTATGCACTTTTCATTCATGGTTTGTTAGGCTGGTCAACTTTGATGAAGTCTATGGGTTTGTCCCGCTCTAATGTTTGCTTTCTTGTCCTTCAATTACGTTTTCATTCCAAAAAAGAGAATTCCTGTGACACAGGTTGCAGCACTCTCGTAGGAGGGTTGTGTTTGGGCCAGTGATCCATGTTTTTTTTTTTTTTCGTTAAAAGCGTTAGAGTGCTGAAATAAACAACAGGCGATATCAACAGAATCGGTGAAAACCTCCATAACCTCGTGCAAAGGTGATGAGGCTCAGCAACTACCAATCAAAAGTGACCTAGTGTATTTGTGGAGATTTGTGTAAGGTTTACCAAACCTCATGAGCTGGATTTTTAAATCCACGTTTCCGGGCCAAGACTCAGCACACTTACACAATAGGTCACTTTTCATTTATACATTGTTAGGCTCGTCAACTTTGCTAAAGGTTACAGGGGTGTCTCTGTGTACTGTTTTGATCGAAAAGCTTTCTGCGTTCTCTTCACCTATGGTGATATCGCGTGTTGTATATTCCAGGATGTCCTCGCTTGGAACGATCCCAAAACATGCAGAACTGGCCCTAATACAATGTAGACCCCGTTGGCCTGCTGCTACTCCGGACATATGTGTTTTCGGCTTCACGCTTACCTCAGGAGGCGGTGAAGCATTCGTAGGACTTTTGGACAACGCTTGTGCAGGACGTACGGCACACCATTCGGACATGGGGCAGATTCGCTGCTGGATCTTTTCACAACTTCCTCGACCTCAGAACAAGAGGGAGGTGTCGTTTTAAATAATACCTTCGGCAACTCAGGCTAAATAAGGCTGCTAAGGATCTCTCGATTGTTATTGAGAGGCTCATTCCTGTTCTTACCAGAGTACATTTTACGTAGATGTGACTCAAGCTCCTCTTTACTGACAACCAGAGTCCCAGAATTCGGTTGCTCGAATAGACCTCGGGCAAACTGGAGCGGGTCCCTAAAGAATTTCTCTCGCTCCCTTTTGGTTCTCCTTCTGTTGTTACAAAAACGCTCAGCACGACAGAGGGCACTGTGTCTGTTTCCTAGATGCAGCCAGACTTCATGCAGCCCCTCCCGTTCGCTTCCTGTAGCGGCTTTGAACCGTTTTCTGAGTGCATTCTTGTCTGCCCCTAACTTGAGAATGCCCCTCTATCTCCTGCTTATATTCTGCTTGACGCCGGCGGCCTCTTTTCGACTGTCCCGAACTCGCGGGAACAGTGCTCGTATATTACATTGCCAAACTTTGTAGGCTTATCACCTTATCACTTCTTTTTTAAATCACGACTTAGTTTTTCACATAATGTACCTTATAACTTTCACCACGACACCTTATCGCTCGCAGGTGGGAACCTGATCTTTGAACGCACTTCCTCGGGTATCATCAAACGTGCGCCTCCGCAGTCAACGTCATGGGTATCTCAGGGCGAGTGGGGTATACCCTGCCCGTCGTTCCCTAACGACTCAGAAACGACCACAGGAGTAGTAGTTTTGCGACTGCGTTTTCTGCGTGGAGCATCCTCTCATTTCATCCTTCCGGCATGAGTTCTCAGACCATGCAGCCCCGTGAAGCTCTTTCCACATGTACAGAGCCAGCCCGGCCGTTGGGCAAGAATCGGAGTCCGGGAGCTAGCAGGGCCGTCACCGTTTGTATCAATTTGATTGGGTCCATCATTCTCCCCCTCTTTCGATGGACCCTGGGGGCATACTTCTTTATCGGTTCGCGAAATCAGAGGTATTATACTGTGTTAGGGGTGATCAACCCGGTCCACAGTCGACACCTGTCTCCAAATGTCAGTTATCCCTCCGGCGATACGGGCGGGGCGGGGGGGGGGGTTGTTTTTTTTAGGTGTCAAAAGGTCTTTCCCGATAGTCACCAACCTTTCCTGGTTGTCTTATGGCTAGCCAATTACAATAAGAAGAAACTCCACAGGGAAGCATGTACAGCAGGAGTCTACCAATCATCAGTAGAAGTAACCTCTAGTCGACAAATGTTTGGGCCCACGAGCTCCTAGACATTTTCAGAGAGTGGGCCCTCTTAAGTTCATGAAGCTCAGGGTTGGTCTCTCCTGCTGCACGTATTACCGGATTTAGTTTTGTGCCAAACTGAGCAGTGGAAAATATAGCACAACAGTGATATAATGGACGCATAATTTCAATTCTTATAAAAATGATAAAATTATTTCGGCAGTCACGGTGTATACCTTAGCTTTTAAAGTCACTGACCGGGGTCTATAAATATACCTTTAATGTTTCAAGCTCCTACCTTCGGCTTTGACTGTATCTGATTTGTCAGTAAAAATACACTTAATGTTTCAGTTTCTACTTTCTTCTTTTATGACATCTGATTGATTTATAAACAAGCAAAAACAAAAACGACTTATTTTACCTTCGGCTTTCACGGTAATCATTCTGCTTAAGCCACGGTGTCGCCAGCAATGCGGCTTCTACCACAGCAGAACTGGTCACCAAGTCGTAATCACCGTTGAAGATGAGTACTTTATAGTTGTTCAGTATAAAAGCCATCTTTCTAATGGAGCTTGCGAAAAAATCTGGAATAAACTCGTTCATCAAATTTAGGTTGGGAAACACAAAAGTGTGGTTGTTTCCTACGTTTAGCGCCCTTTGTATTTCAGGTAACATCATTGCAGCCGTCACTGTACTGTACTCAACATTTTGTTTACTGACATAATTGTCAAAACTCTGAAGTGGAATTTCGTTATAACGAAGGATTGTGTCTGTAATTTCAAACCATGTGGTATTGGTATGTTTTCCAGATCGAAATTGCCGGTGTAAATCAAACAATTCGTTTCTGTATATGAGCGAATCTGCTTTACTTATGACACCAAGGCTGTACAGGTGGCTGAAATATGCAGGATGTTGAGTTCTGGGGTCGAAATATGGACCACCAAGTATTATGCCTCGAAGAGGAATCTTATTGGTCTCATTTTCATTTTTTTGGTGGATTTTGTATGCAAGAGCAGGTACGTACTTGCCAGCGTAAGACTGTCCACTAAGGTAGAAGTCTCGCCTTTTGTGCTCAGGAAACATTTTGAAGAACTGCAAAACGAAGCTATACAAATCAGCGGTGTAGCCATCTTGCGTCGCCTTGTAACCGGCTTCGCCTTGATCTGAGAAGCTGTAACCGGTTCCTACCGGATTGTCAACATAAACAACTGAGAATGGACCCACCCAGGTATAATTTCTGTGGGTTAGTTCGACTCCTTCTTCTGTCATTTTAGCTTCCATTGGACCATGCTCCCAGAACAATCCAACCATGGATGAAACAGCCGGACCTCCATTGAGCCATAAAAGAAGCGGGGCTGATGCGTTGAGTTGAGAAGGGAAGTACCAAAAGAAAAGATGGTTCCCAAGCTCTTTGTCCACGGTGATAAAACCAGAGTGACTTGCCGGAATGTTATGAATCGTGTCCTCGGCTACCCGGCTCCTTTCTTTGGCAGCATGGATGTTACCTTGATCTAGAAGTGGAGTTAAGAACAGGGACTCATGTGTGCTGGCAGTTGTTGGTACACTGGCCGCAGTAAATATGTTTGCTGCCATCACAATTAACGCCAGTAGATCCATCTGATATCCTTCTTGCTGAACTATACTTTCTCCTCAAATCGTTGTGTTGAAAACGTAAGTATTCAGTTTATAGAAATTATTCTAGGGATAAAATGACAAAGTTCAGTGTTCATCAACGCAACACTAGAGCGCACGCACGCACGCACACACTTTCACACACAGGCACTTGTGGATCAGGTATGAAGTTGATTTTCAGACACACACAAACACACACACACAAATGTCAAGGTTTTGTCAGTTCTATTCGATCGACTCAGTCTTAAATGGGTACCAGGTACAGTCCTGTGAAGTAAAGTCGGCCGGCATGATGTTGTTCCGATCAGTCTATAAAATATAGGTTCAACCTTTTAAGCCCAGTAGGTCTGAAGGGGTGGCGAATAGTCCTATACCTAACTCTTTCAACAACACAGTCGTCTGTTAGTGTGTTCACTAGGCAGGTTGCGTTTAGTAGCAGCCACTTTAAAAACTATAACGTTGTGGATATTAAATGAAAGCAACAGACAACAAACAACAGATAATATACAACATTTCGAAACCATTTGCCCAGAGCTCTGAAGGTATCGGTTCGTTTGCTGACAATTGTTTTTCAAAGCTATTCAAGTGTGTTTATTACAGACATGTTCGATTGTACTACTCTCTATCTAGTATGAGGTTTGAGGTTTGAAAAACCGATCACATTATGGCACACGGGTAGTAACCCATAAGTACCTCGTTTTTCTTTTAACTCAAGTCTGAGTCCGAAGAAGCTCAGCACAGTGCACAGGATATGTAGCACCGGTGAGGATCCTGAAATACTTTGGGTAGATTTTTAACTTTAAATTGTGCCCGGGCAGCGTTGTTAAACTACTATTTTCGATTTCCATTCGCCAAGGGATTTACGTACGCAACAATGCACACAGGCAGCCGATCTCTCTACCAAGAGACCAGAGGTAATTAATAGAAGTCTAAGTCCGCGTGAAAAAAATCCCTACCCTTACCGGGGATTGAACCCGGAACCTCTAGCAATCGAGGCGGACACCATACCTCGAGACCACGCAGTCCCCTACTCTCTAGTAATCGGAAAGCTGCTGGTACAGCCTCAGTCACCATTCTCATGCTAGATATTGTGATACTATACGTAAAGCTCTCCTTCTTGAGATCTGGTGCAACAAAGATAACCCTTAGACAGCATATTCGCGTGTTTCATGAGATCTGGTCACTTGTGTCGACTTTTTACTACCAACACATTGTTTGCTGGTCTTCTGTTGATGTCCAGACAGTTTTTCCCTCTGGCTTGTACATGAATGTAATAAATATAGTTTCAGTTGATAATAGACCTTGTTCTGTTAATTTTTTTTCCTAATATCACAATCTGCTTTGTACCAATGGGTGATTCAGTTTAACGAATGACATGTAGCCGAGCCTCTCAATTGCTTGGTATGTTGTGATGTCGTGCGGTCTTAGGCTGTCACTGACACTATCAATCTTTTGTCTCCTACCCGAGTCTGTGAATACTTGCACTGCCGTAGCACATACCTAGGCTTTTACATAATGCCTTTTCAAAATCTGACGCTGAAAGGTAATGCAGGACTTCAGCAAAAGAAAAAGATTGTTCTACTAATTTTTTTAATCTTGATTTCTGGTTTTGAAATTACACAGCTCTGTTTAGGTGACGATCCTACCACCCATATTCGTCATTTACCCGCCCGGCTCTCTAGCGTAGTTGGCTAAACCGGATTGCGCGGTGAGCGGGTGACGAACTCCTTGTGGTCTGGGTTCACTCCCGGGGGTAGGCAGAAAAGCCACATTTCTCCCAGATTTACAATGGAATCAAGGCCGAAAGGATGCGATATCCATAATACCGAGCCTAAGGGTTGACAACTCATGGCTTCTGGATACTAAAACAAGCATCTTCACTTACCATGAAAGATCAACGCAAGACTCTTCAAACTGGCTCACTTTACCATAAGCTGCTGTATGCTGGTGTATATTTATAACAGGGCTGACGTGGCAGGCTGTACGTTTGACTAGTGTTCACCCACACAACACGTAACTAGCTTCAATAGGGGATGATGGCAATACATTACCACAAGCTCGTTGTGCAGAATCAACAGGAGAAGACTATTTTAACACATACTGTATACGGACAAAATAATGTATTTTTTACTGCACGTATAACTATGCGGGAGACTACCTGTCAGTATGCAGAATATTCGGGTTTATTGTTTTTGGAAGTGTCAAGTTTTGTTCTGGCAATAATTGGCCGCTGCATTTTCCTCCATGTGTGCATTGAAAGGATATAGCTTTGTTGCCAGCTACTGAGTTGAGTGTATAGCTACGGGTTTCATTTGAAATTAAAATGCCTTTCGACTGTACCAGCGTGGCTTGTGTTGCGAACTGTAGATTCAGAAACTGGCAAGTGTCCTGTTGCCACAGAACTGGTGTTGCTTATGAGATTAATCGTGTGCACAAATACTAATCTATTGTAATTGCTGCCTCCGTTGACGATAAACTGCATTTCCAGTGTCGGACTGTTTGTGTTAGCACTTCGGACGGCTGACGTGAATTTATTGCGTGTGTGTACTAAAATTGCTGATACCGCAGTCTGGTCAATGTTTCTACAGCGAACAAAGATAGACATTATGTGTGGGTTTGGTTGGTACAGGAAAGGCGCTATTATAGGAGGGCCAGTTTGTAATGAAGTTGGAATTGTGATAAGTATGCAAAAAATCCTCATCATTAAATAGCGAAAATATTATATTTATTTCAGGTTTCCTGAAAGTAACAAAGTATACAATGTGTTGCGTGCTGATTTGGGATAGGGTAATATTGTGTGAAGAGACAGAGTGGTATGATAGTACTTTCCGGGAGTTCAAGGGAATGTCCCGTTAACAGTGTCTGCATTGGCCCCGAGTAGTGAGGGGGAGAGAAAGTTGACCAGGGAGGAATGTATTATCACGGAAGAGGCATGCACGCCCGAGAAAGTAGATGCGTCCACGATCACGATAGGGGCTGACAAGCATGGCTAAGGAGACGCACAGAGAAAGTATTAATTTCGTGACAGAGTTATTCTTATGTAACATAGTGTGATTTTTGAGAACGCCCACATGAGCATGATTCCCGCGAACGCCCACATGAGCATGATTCCCGCGAACGCCCACACCAGCGTGCCTCTTGTGTAACATTAGCCGCCCACATGGGTTCGGTAGGGATATACTGGGGCTGCGAAGACAGTCCAAGTCAGTGAGCTGCAGCCGGAGAGCTAAATTGCGGGTGTAGTACACACCCAGCACGAGAGTGCTGTTCGTCAGAGATGGAGAGAGAGAGAGAGAGAGAGAGACCAAGTCAGACTCCGAGGCAGAGAGAGAGAGAGAGAGAGAGAGAGAGAGAGAGAGAGAGAGAGAGAGAGACAGACAGAGAGAGAGAGAGAGAGAGAGAGAGACCAAATCAGGGTCAGAGGCAGTATCTCTTGAGTGAGACAGAGTACCGAGAAACCGTGAGACATCAAGGGTTTCGTAGAAGGTACTTGTCGAAGGTATAGTTCCGCTGGCGAAGTAAGGCCATGGGGACTGGACGCTCGAATAGTGACTGCTCTGGGTGACGGCGCAAGGAAACGTAGGATCACCATGAAAACAGAACAGTAGGGATGCCGGCGAGCTCGCATAAGTCCTGTCGGTTATCGGAGTCCTTCGATAGGCTGATGTGCTGTGGGCACATGCTGGAGAACGAGCAAGTGAAGTCCGTTTTCACTCAGCCTCTGTTGTCTGCTGAAGTAAAATCAAAGGTCCAGTTAATAGAAGAGTTCGTCCTGTTCTGCTGTACGGCGAGCCCAAAGTTGTGGGACGCTGTAGACCTTCGGAGCTGTAGCGGTCAGGAAGAGGTCGCTACAAGTTGAGAGAGAGAGAGAGAGAGAGAGAGAGAGAGAGAGAGAGAGAGAGAGAGAGAGAGAGAGAGAGGACTATATGGAGAAGGGGCGAATGCCAATAAGGATCAGTGTCTACGTCTCTGAATAAGCGGTTTTGTCGATGTGAGGGCTTGTGTATACCCTCTTGTGTTCTGTCGAATAAACTGATTGTATGACGGAGCTGACAGTGTCGTGTCGTAACTCAGTGTGTCAAGTGAATATCCATACCTGTGGACATTTGGTCATGTACTGATTATTGTATAACTCAGACAGCACACAGCACAGTGCAAACAACAAAAATAATGACACGAAGTTATAAAAGCATAAAGAATACCTGGGCAGTTTAAAAAACCATGTGAATGAATGAAGAAATGAATAACTGACATCACTGCACTGGAAACATTCAGTACTTTATTTGTAATTCACCCCAAACAAAGAATTACCCCAGACTCCGGGAAAGTCCAATATTTTAGAAGTGTTATGAGTCGGGGTTAAGTTTAGGTTAAGGATCTTTGTCATCCAGGACTAACCTTAACCTGTATCCCAATCCAAAACACCCCTAGAATATTAGATGTTTCCGAGAACTCCTGCATTTTCTTTGTGTGGGGTGAATCAAAATAAAGTACTAGACATATCTTTACGTGATGTGCGCCTCTTCTCAATAGCCAACAAAGGGTTCCTGTACTAAAGGTGTCAGTTGCGACATGATTGAAATTTATTTGTTTGCCCCCTTCTGTGTTTAGAAAAACGCCCGGACCCTCTGTTTACTCCCAGCCGAACACTTCTCTCCAGATAAGGATGATCAGCAAACTTTACTTGATTCAAGAGAGCCTTCATCATATCCACTTTATCTCAATGCAGTTCCCCGCCCAGCAGGTTAGGTGGGGTGGAGGAGGGGAGGAAAATGCAGCAGTCAGTCTCGCAGCCTGCTGATTGCAGCGTACACCCGAATATTCTAGACAAAAAGTCCACGGTATGCTTCTGATCTGGGTCTTAATTATTTAGTGAGCTAGTTAGTTAGTTGTGTTATCATCACGGCACTCCTGAACACGTCCAAAGATGCTCAGATCCTCCATTCAGTATGGACCCCAGCTTCTGGTGGCGAATAGTACCAGTT